ATATATATATATATTTGGTGACTGTAGGGAATAAATAGGGCCGTCACTTACCGAGATCGGATGACGGGTGCGCCCGCGTAAGCCGACACAGCTGAAGGGGCAAGTAGCGTGTATCAGCCCGAGGTGGCGACTTGGGTGGCGGTGGTGCTGCGCTGAGAAAGCCGCGCTGCAGCTCCCAGCCAACCTCTTGAATGATGGAGGCCTTGCGAAAATAGGGCGTCACCTCGCGCAGGTACTTTACTGCAATACGAATCGTAATAATAATTAATGACAAATCCCATTTAATTATACCTCATCTCGTGTTTACAATAGAACAATACTATTATTAATGTTATTGTTGTTGTTATTATTATTATTGTAACTGTACAGCGTATTGTAAAAAAAAAGAAATTTTTTTTCCAAAAGATACATTATTATTCATAGATCCTTACGGATCGTTGCCGTAACGATTTTCTTGAATTTCCAGATCCTACTACGATAAACCATGGACCTCTGTAAAAGTTGAAGAATAAAAAAAAAAATAGGAAGTAGCCCTCGCTTGAGAAGACAATGGTCAAGTAGGTACATAATATACTTAAAGTTGGCTTAGAGCTTAGAGCTATATAATGTAATTTTACCCTTAAATATTGATGTGTACAAGTAGTATACGAGTACATGTATGTATTTAAGGATAAGCCCTAAATGATTGGAAAATTCAGGCAGACAAAAGTTCGAACACGGGTATTACGCCGAGAGAGGGGCAATTATTCTAAACAATTAAAATCTTGTTGACGTGTATCAGCAGAATCGATCAAATCCAATGATTTATTATCGGTTCGAGTATATAATATAACGTGGTTACGTAGCATGTAAAAATCTTGAAAGAAGAAAATAGTAGGGGAAAAAAAACTGCAAGCTAGTTGTTTTGCTTTTTTCTTTTTGTAATTATTTTCACTCGATTTTCACATGAAAAATTTGTATTACAATCCTTCAGATAATTAGGTACCTGCACGGCAATGGACAATTGACGCTGACGTTTCAAAAGTCTGCTCGGTATGCCCATCAAGTGCCCATACATGGTGGTCGATGGAGGCAATGGAACGCGATCCCGAGAGAAGGCAGTACAAAACAGAGAGAGGGTGGTGTTTACCATTTGCCGCATCCTCATTCCTTCTCGATCCTGAACCAACAGTAGATAAAGCTCTCCCTTCATCTGATTCTCCAAGCTGCTGTTTGTCGTTGTTCTATACAGTGTACAATATATGGGATACAGTATACAGAACCCAACTAGCACTGAGCATATTGATATTGACACCAAACACCTCATTTTCCTTTGTTAATCTTCATTAGTTTGACCTGCCTTCATAAACACGAAGAAAAAACCACGTGAGATTGGAGTGCCAAATTTCCAAGCTAGTGCTTAAATATTACGAAAGGTAAAAATTATGGTTAGAACAGTAAAAATTTCGATGTGGGAACAGTACACCTTAAAAGGATCGGTTAATAAACTTTACTTTCCCGCATCGAAATTATTACTGTTCTAACCATAATTGTAACTGTTGAAACAACAGTCTTTACTGTTAAAAATAATAATTTTTCTTCTTTACCAGCTGGCGTCCGATTTACTGTGCGGAAAGGTAATTTTTACTGGAATTTCGCTATAATTTTCATTATTTTTTTTTCTCAGTGTACTGAGCATAACTTCAGTACCTCTACTTGGAATTGTGTTATGCTAAACATTACAAGTCCCCAGATCAATTATTATTATTGACTGTATCTTTGATGGTTTTTTTGCTTCGCTGAACGCGAGCAACGTTTTACCAAGTAAAAGATTTGGCTGATGGTCCAACATATTTATCGATAGGTACTGAACGCTACAATGTGATTTTGTTGTACGCATTGTCATCAGCTATAGTATTTTACGGGGAATTAATCATTTACGGTACACCCTTTCGACATTCAAGTCTTTCTATTCATCAAACGCTCATGGGGCAGATGCCTATATTTGTAGAACGAGGAGGAAGCAAGTTTAAACGAACGTCCGATTGTCAAGTGACGTGACAGTGTAGCACCCCCATTAATGGATCGGGCGTTAAAATAAACGCTGCCATTAAGATAAACGTAACACTTTATCCTCCTTCTGTTTCTCCTTTTAGTGGTATAATGATGACTCTACACTTAAAATACTATAATATAGGTATAGTCGAGGTTGCAGAGGTGCGAGTACAACGGGAGAAGGTGATAGTAAACACGATCGTTAAAATGCTGGAAGTTGTGCCGTAGCTGTCTATCTGATCTCCCCCCCCCCCTCTCATCAAGTTTTTGCTCTCCAACTCTGGGCCGATGGATAACGCGAGATTGGTCAATTTCGGCAAGAGTGCTTACTCGGGAGAAATTTCATGCCAGCATCGCCTTCTGCATTCGAACAAACCGCTGCATTGATTAATTGGCACGTCCGATTCGGTAACTCTATAGATAATATCCCGCGTAATATTATCTGTTATTACTATCATTACTTATACCTTGATAAAACATTTAAGTTGAATATGAAATTTTTTTCACCATCCAACCGAATCTCCAATATATGAGCTTCCCCTGATGCCGTGCGTCTGGATCCCCTTCGAATAAATTGGGTGTCTTTGAAGCCAATGTCAACAAGTAAGCCCCACCATTTCGAAACAAATAAATGAATAAACAGATGGGGAGACGGAAAAAAGGAGCAAGTGAACGCCATCAAGGGTACATGTAATGACTGCTACTCAAAACATGATTGGACAGCTTTTTTTTCTTCAGCGATAAACATGCATTGTGCCACGAAGCGTTGTCTGAACTCGATCAACGCAGAGTGTTTAGATCGGGACCACTCCAGAGTACGCAAAGTCCTGTCACCTGAAGCATATATATATATATATACGTGGCAGAAACAGCTGGTATAAACTGCTCTGCTCGAGCGACGGCTGGCACAAAACTTGCCAACACCGTGCATGATTCGATGATTCGATTCTGAGCTGGACTGCTGTGTAATATACCTATTACCAATGCCGCGACAAATTATTCATCCCCTTGAGCCGACTGGTATTTGTTATTTCCTTGGCGCTTCCGACCCAACTCTGAGAATGCTGCACTACCGCTACCGCCACAGCCATTTGTTCTGCTATTTCCCGGTTACCTATTGAATTATACCCAAGTATGAGCGCAGACAGACGTTGCAGCGCCGTCGCGAGCAAGATGGGTATGGCACCACAACCATACCCGCCACTTCACTTTCTTGCGCTTCCCCGCATTTCATTCAACCCGCAAAATCCAGTGTCGATATGTGATTCCTTTCCTCCTCCCAAACAGAGTTACGGGTACGGGTATTTATAACGATTTTTTCCTCTTGATTTCGTATCAGGGCAAATCAACGTGACCTGCCCAGCAGCCTTCCCTATATACTTGTTGAAAAAGTGTTACGGCATCCCCAGCACAACTGCATTCCTCTCTGACCCAAAGTGGATTTAATAAATAATATGGCGCCTTCATCTTACAAATCAAGGAGAAAAAAAGTATCACGCTGAAAATAAAATAGATGTTGAAACAGCACATTTCAGGAGTGTACATTTTTTCACAATTTACTCGACAATTTCAAGCTGTCATATTTGTGTAACTTTGTACAATAACCCTCGCGCATCGTTGGACTTTGTGACTCGTACCTAGTGGATCAACTTCCCGCGTCCCGCATCTACACGCTCCGTAGTACCTGTTTGCACCGTTTTAAGGTGTAATTTCAAATTTGTTTGAAATTACGAAAAATTTTTCAGTTTCATGGAAAGTCGTTTTTAATTGCAAGGCGGGGCAAATACTCAAATTACTTTGGACCACTTTGTTCTACACCGAGTGGCAGAGATTTACATTTGTATTACATTTTCAGTTGGTCGAAGTTTTATGAACACTGGCCATGAGCCATGGGTGAAAAAAAAAGAGAGAGAGAGTATCTTCCTCCTTCCACCTATTTCATTATCTGTTCTCGTAGGGCGATATTTTTTTTAGAAATTACATAAGTCGTGAAAACTCAGCTTAAAAATAATATAATCAAAGGTGACCGGTATGATAATGTCCGTAATTTTGATACCTTCATAACTTTTTTAATTGTAAGTTTGGAATAATTCAGAACCTTAAGTGGTCGTTTCTTAGCAAATAAAGCTGATATTGAGAATAGGACGTTAATTTGTCATGAGAAAGTACAAACAATTTTTTTCTAAATTTTCTCCTTTCAGCACTTTTTTACTTTTTGAAAATCATTTTCTGAAGTTAATAATTTTCGCCTTTGAAAAACTCAAAATCGCAAGTGGCCGTATCTTTTAAAATAAATACATATATCGGGAAAAAGACGATAATTATTAATTGGTAAATCTTTGGCACTTCCAATTTTTCAATGTCAACTACTAATACCTTTCTAACGTTCTTGATAGTAAATTATGTATTGTAATTCTTATGTCTTGTAATATTGTATTTCTTATTTTTAAAACTTCAATGATGTTTTAACTTTCTTGTATTGTGCCTGTGATATGCTGATAGTATAATATACAATTTTTGTAGCTGCACGATTATCGCGTTTAGTTTTCCGGTAGTGTAAGCTCGTATCTTAAACGACGATACTCATGTGTTTTACAAGTATGTAATGTACGTGTAATGCTTGGAAAGATCACGATTTTTAAATCATAAAACGAATCAAAATTTCCAATGTCCAAAAAAGTTACAAGATCAATAAAAATTGATGATAACAACAACAATAATAACAATATTCATAATAATAAAAGTAACAATAATTAGTATTTTAATCTTTTTGAAAAATTAAGATACACTTAATAATAGACTGCGAACTTTTATTTATAAAATACGTATGTATAAGATCAGAGTATCCAATATTTTTTTTATTAATTCTGTCTAGATGTATATAAGTACTAGAATAAACAAAAACTGTATGAGAAGACATGGATGATAGCTTGGTACACAAGAGGGAACGGGCGATCGGTTTGCGGAAGTCAATCTCCGTTTTCTCGAGATACAAGCTGTTTTTAATATCCGGTAAGAGACTGTTTTTCATCGTCCCTCCATCGCTACAGGTATCGTTGCTTCATTTTTTACCTGGTGCTCTCAGCTAAAGCTTTCGCCTCCCTTATTATTTAATGTCCTTTTTTTTTTTTTTTTTTTCTTCTCTCCTTATTTTTTTATTTTTTAACGAAGTTGATGATGATGATTGTACTCGAAAGTTGAAAGCA